GCCAGGATTAACCTGGTGCAAATCTATATAAGTCTGTTCCAGATTCCAGTTGGCTTCTGCCGAAGCTCAGACCCTGGCAGAGGATCGGGAACGTGGGAAGCGCCTGCCTCTGCCATCCGAAAGGAGAAGCGGTCATGGAAGATAAAGATGAAGATGTTGACTAGACGATCAGGAACGCTGGAAGTGACCCTAAGATCTAACTATAATTGTTATAATATTTATTATACCAATAACTATAAATACTGCTGCCAATTGACAGGAAATGATGGAACCGAGATATTTAACATGGTGAATCTACATCGTTTTAACTGAACGCTGCATTAGCAGGTTTCCTTTACAGATGGGACCTTCATGCAGCTTGACTGCTGGGCAATAAAAACGACGTGAGATGTGACAGGTACATTGTGCACGGAAGCCGTTCGGCGAAGAATGCCACTCACCGTACTGCTGACCAGAAAAAATATGATCTGCGCACTTCAAGTCAGCACACTGTCTGGTCATGTGTCAGCGACTTCCCGCTACAATAGGGCTCTCGCATTTGCCAGTACATGCTCTTTCTGAAGAGAAAGTACGGACCAATGTTAAACACCAATCGCTGAAGCGTATCACCTTTACGGGCTACATGATTAACAGCAATCAGAGAGACAACTCATATTATCTTTTAGTCCAATAACACACATGGTGTCTTCAATCATAATATAACAAGTTGCTGGCACATGTATACCATGGAAGAATGCTGAACAGTAAAGTTAAATTTACTTACTCTCGTCGGTTGATTCGCAAATCACTGTATCTCCAGGTATTTTCATCAGGTACTCGTTTATTGTGCGCCACCCAGGCTTCAGCCAGTACTCACATAGCCGAACCAGAAGTGATCCATAACCACTGTACACGTATGATGAATCGTTTGGGTCCTACGAAAAAAAGTGAAGTTAGTACCCCTCAGGCAAAGAGAAGAGTTTTTTTACTAACCAAGGAAATCAAAAATTTCGAAACTACAATAATAGACGAGAAAGTAGTTTACAATAACCAAGAAAGCATTCTCAAGCAATTTTGGGCAAGCTGGGCGACGATCTAATGTTATTCTTGCCATACGCTTCTTCGCCTGTTCTCTGTTGGTATTTTTCGTTTTTATTCACATTGTACGTTCACTGTATTCTATTTACACTTTGTTTTGTTTAACTCTGCTGTTGCCAATCGCAAACCAGATTGAGAAAGGAGGAGGGATAGAAAACCTGGCCAGGTGCCAGTAAAACTGAGCAAACTGCACCTAATGGTATGGCTGTCATCGAACATTATACCAGCTCGGTCGTCACCAAGGTTACGAAGTGCCGCGCAGGCTGTTGAGGGACTAGAGCAGATTGCAAAAAGTCAGCGATGAGCACCTGCTCCTATCCATCAAGCAGCCGGGAGCGTAACAGCACGACGATGATCGCAGAAGATTGATGAAACGACAACAAAAAGCTTAGTGTTTTCTCGTTCTCCTGTTCGTTGCTCTCTCCAGATTAACCGAGGCAGTGGAGCAAGTGGAGAAATTGAAGTATGTGGGATTCGTGTTTACTACTGACAGAAAATTTGTAGAAGAGAACCACCGGCGAATTGGAGTAGCCAGTGGCGTTTTGCGTGAACTAGCCTGATCTACTGTGACCAAAACACAGCTGAGTCTTAATGCTAAGTTCCCGGTGTTCAAGTCGATCTTTATCCCCATGCTTACCTATGGTCATGAGTCGTGGACCGTGACTGAAAAAGCTTGATCCCGGGTAGAAGCTGACGAATTAATCGCTAGCCTTGCGCGTCTCGATATGGCCTGGAATACTGACATAAGAAAGAGCCTCGGTGTACAGCTTCCGCTTCTTCAGACTGCGAAGTCACAGCTGCGATGGTTTGGGCAGTGTTGCGAACGCCTGAAAAAAGAACGGCGAAGCAACTATTTGTTGCAAAGCCCAGCGGCAGAAAG